TTTTTTTCTCCAAGATTGGTCATGTTTTCTAATTTATAGTATAAAAATTTTCACATTAACTTTTCTGTCTTCCCAGAAAAAAAATCTCTTATGGGCTGGGGATATAACTCAGTTGGTAGAGTGTTTGCTTCATATGCACAACGTCCTGGGTTCAATCCCCAGGACCACCAAAAAAGTAAATAAATAAACAATCTCTTATGCCTTTAGGTTTTCTGCTAAAACATGCTTCCCCCTCCTCAAAATTAGAGAATTTGCATTTGCTTCTTAATAATTCAATGTTTTTACCTTAAATACTTCACGACTTGTAGTACACTGTGTGTTTTCAGAAGTCTAGGTTTACTGGGAAACGGATCAGGAAGCCCAGTTCCCAGCACTAGGGGCGTCCTGCCTGGGGGCAGTTCACTTGTTACACTAGTGGGCAGCGAGGACCCACCACCAACTGCAACTGAAGTTCTAGGCTGCTCTCCATGTCATGGTCTAGGGGGGCCACCACCTGCACAGTGTCACATGGAACAGTCAGGGCTCGGCCTCTCACCCTCCCTGACCCTCGCTGGCCACCACCGGTCTTTCTACCCTCTCTGTTATGCCCTCTGTTATGCCCTCTGTTATGCCCTCTGTTATGCCCTCTGTTATGCTCTCTGTTATGCCCTCTCTGTTATGCCCCCTGTTATGCCCCCTCTGTTATGCCCTCTGTTATGCCCTCTCTGTTATGCCCTCTGTTATGCCCCCTCTGTTATGCCCTCTCTGTTATGCCCTCTGTTATGCCCTCTGTTATGCCCTCTCTGTTATGCCCTCTGTTATGCCCCCTGTTATCCCCCCTCTGTTATGCCCTCTCCCTTATGTCCGAGTTGGAGTCCGCGTCTTTGCCTTACACTGTGCACCTATGTTTTCCCACATCCTTTCCTGTTCAGCAGCGCATTTCTTTTTCACTGATAACGGTCCATGGTCTGGATGGCCCAGGATTCATCCATTGGGCGACTGGAGGACATCCTGGCGCTGTGACCATTGACAATCAAGAGTGAAGCTGCTGGACATCTCTGCGGTGTCCTGCGGACAGGATTTCCAACACCCAAGGTGCTGGCGCTGGTAGGAAGGTCTAGCGGCGGGCCGGGGGTAGCTCAGCGGTAGAACTTTTACCCAAGCACGGCGCCCGGGTCCCGCACACAGGTGTGCTCCGTGTCGTGCGAGACCCGCGGCTGCCCGCGCACTAGATGCAGCAGGTCCCGCTCGGGCCAGGCACACGCTCGCGCCGAGCAGGTCTCACTGAGTCGCCAGGCTGGCCTCGAACGTGCCGCCCGGCCTCCCGGGTCGCTGTTTCCAGGCAGACGCGCCTCGGCCTCCCCGGCCGCGGGGACCTCAGCCGCGAGCCGCCGGGCATTCCCCGGCTGGGACGGCAGCGCCCGCGGCGCCGGCGCTCGGGTGAGGATCGGTCTTCGCCGAGCACGCACCTGCCTCGACGGCGGGGGCCGCGGGGCCTCGGCTTCCTCCCGCTCGCGGGGACAGCGCGGGGGGGCGGCCTCAGCCCGCCCGGAACCGCCCGGGAACGGCGAAGGCACCGGCGCGCCCAGGTGCCGCCCACCGGAACGCGCACCGCCCCGACCGGAAGCGCAGCGGCCGCTCTAGCCTCCGGCTCTCGCTGACCGGGTCCTCCAGGGAGCCGCTGCAGCCCAGGTCGCGGCTCCGTTCCGCCCCGGATATAGGATCGCAAATTCGAACCTCAGGCAAGGGACATTTTAGTAACTGGCCTTGCACATTGCGATATGACCGCAAGATGCCTAGGGAAAAGGCATAGCTAGGGAAGGACACCGTTGGGGCCAAATGGCAAAACCTGAATGTGAGCTATGGCTTAGGTGATTGTGTTTTCTCCATAGTGAATCTCCTGCTTTTCCTTTTTTTGGAGGGCAGGGTGAGGGTGTGGTGCCGGGAACTCAACCCGGAGTTGCTCAACCACTGAACTACATCCCCAGACCTTTTTATTCTTATATTGAGGCAGGAGCTCCCTAACTTGCCCAGGCTGGCCTCCAACTTGAGGTCCTGCTGCCTCGGCCTCCCGGTCGCTGTTTGCAGGCATATGCGCCAACACGCCAGGCGAATTTCCTGCTTTTGATCATTGCTCTGCAGTAACGTAGGAGAGTGTCCTTAGGTCCAGAAAACACACTCGTATTTAGGGGTCAAGGAGCACGATGTCCCCAACCTAATCCCAGATGGCTCAGAAAGAACCGCGTGCAGAGAGAGAAACCCCGCGAAATGCCTGCGGCTGTGTCTGAATGCGTGGCATGTGGGAGTTCCTGGTAGTATTGCAAATTTTTCTAAATTGGAAATTTTATCGGGAAAAAAAAAAAAAAAAAAAACAACGAAAAACTCTCAATAGGTTAGTCGCCAAACCCCGGGAGGACGAGAAGGAAGCCCTTTCTCTTTCCCAGGCTCTCCCACTACAGTCAGGTCACCACTACTCAGCTTCCCCTGAGCACCTGGTCATTGATGTCCTCTACCCTTGAGGGTTATGGCGGAGGTCCGCTGTCAGTGGAGGGACACTGATTTCCCATGGACTCACAGTGGGGAGAAGGCATCAAGCTCCCTTGTAGCTTGGAAATCAGAGACACTCATGAGTGGCTCCTGTGGCCGCTGGAAACGCTAGAGCAGTGGACCAGGCAGATGCGGGGGTGTGGTCACACGTTTATTAATACCTGCACGCAGCAAGTGCGCGTCCTCCCTGTGGCCTCCATGTCCTTCCCCCCGGTGGGTTCAGTCTCGCCCGGCGCCTGCGGATGCCGCGTCGGCATCCGCATTCTCCGACTGTGAGGTGGGAGGAGGGGGGTCCCGGAACCGACTGGAGGGAAGCTTGGGGTTGAACTTTGCTGAGGGGAGAGTGTCCCGTGAGGCCGCAGGCAAGGAGGAGTGCGTAGAGATCCGAGACCCCTCATGTGACCTCGCCAGCGACAAGGTCCTGGAGCTCGCTGACGACAGGGTCAGAGATGCGACCCGGGAACTGGGACGCGACGGGACCAAGGACGAGACCCGGGAGCCCGGGCGCGACGGGGTCAAGGACGGAACCCGGGAGTCCCGGCGCGTCACTGTTAGGGAAAAGGCCTCTAACCCTGCCTTCGAAGTGGCCAGCGAAGGGACCAACGATGATACGCGAGAAAGCGCACAGGACATGGACGGGGGCTGGGAGGCTACGCGTGACGAGTCCACCGATGTGGCTGGGGAGGCTCCGCGCGACCGGCCCCTCGCGGTGACGGCGTTTGATTCTGGGCGCGAGGTGGTTTGGGAAGAGACCGGCGGCTGCCAGAGCGGCGGGCCGTCGGGGCCCCTGCGCAGCCAGCCGTGCACGCGCGCCAGGTCCCGCGTATCCTCGTGCTCGCGACGCAGCTGCTCACGCTGCTGAAGCCGCTGGTGCCGCAGATTGTGCAGCAGCTGGGCCCTGCCGAGAAGCCGCAACAGCTCCTGCCTCAGGCGCCCATTGTCTGCTTTGACGGCCTGCGTATGTGTGACGAGCGCGCGCGTCGCCTCCCGCTCCGCGCGCCGGCCCAGAGACTGCACACGCTGGCGAGCCTCACGCTCGCAGGCTGCCTTTTCCTCCAAAAAGCGCCGCTTCACGCGGTGGAGCAGCTGCGTGTGCTCCACGCGCATGTGCAGCAGCTCGCGCTCCAGCGTCCGGATCCTTGCCAGCTGCTCCAGCTGCAGCTCCTGTGGCAGGGGCGCAGGTCAGCGCAGGAGCTCGACGCGCGCCCACCCAGACCCGCAGCCCCCGCCCCCACCGTCGGGTCCGCTACCGCACGCGTACTGGCCTTGTAAGGCTGCAGCTCCTGCACCTGCTGCGCCATCTGCGCTGCACGCGCCTGCATCTCCAGCAGCTGCGCACGCACCCCATCCTCGCGCCCCTGGTACAGCGACGCTAGTTCTGACCGCTCCCAATGGATCTGTCCCAGGTCCACGCGGTTCTGCTCGTCTAGCCGCAGGACGGCGTTGGCACAGCGCTGCGCGCGTGTGTTTACAAAACTGGCGTAAAACCGATTCTCTTCGCGCAAGCGCCCTGCCTCGCGGTCCAGGAACATGTTTTCCGGTAGCACCTGGTCCACGCGCCCCTCGCAGGCGTCCAGCTGCTCCGAGAGCAACGTGTACTCGCGCTGTAGGTACTGCGCGCGTTCCGACCCCTGCGGCTCTGCACCTTCACCCAGTCGGCGCCCTAAGCTCGTCACGCGCTTCTTCTTGGGCGCCATGGGTTAGGACCTGGGGCACAGGGGCTCAGGAGGGCAGTGCTCGCTTCCACAGTTCAGTTTCTTCCTTTCCCCAACCCGGAAAAATCTAGGCCCCAGGTCCATGGATAGAATGCCTCCTAAGGTCACGAAGTCTGGGGAGGCAGAATCGGAGTCGGAGCAGCATTGCCAACCTGTACTCGTGGGTTCCCTCTGGTCCTTGGTTGTTCGTGTCGGGTGTGTCCAACATTGGTACCGTTGATATTCAGCCAGCAATCTCTATGGAGACAGAATTTAGCCGCCCTCCCCCATCCCGCCTCGTTGCTAGGGCAACACCTGGACTCTGCCGTTCCCGCCGGGCTCTCTCCTGTGTAGAGGCGACAGCTGCGCCCAGCCGAGGAGGAGAGGTAGAGGTAGATAGAGACAGGCAGGGTTCAGTTCAGGCCCTGGGACTTTTTTTCCCCCAAAACCAACTGACCTGAGCAGCAGCCCCCACCCTCCACTGCCAGGCATTCACTGCCCTTCAACTCTGCATACCGCGGGCTCTGATTCCGGGTTCCCTCCCTCCAGCCTTAGCAGGCTCTTCCTCGACTAGGCCTCTCTGCTGTCCAGAAAGGGCTCTGCACACCGCTTCTCCTTTCAGGGAACCCTTGTCTCTGAGGCCACCAGGGGCGGGGCTACTGGGAGGTGTGAAGTCCCTTCAGATGCTGTCCCCTGTAGCCAGTGGGCCATCTGCTTCTCTCTTGGATTCCTAAAGCCACTGGCAGGGCACCTGCCCAATTCATCCACTTCCCTTCCTGGAGGGGATAAGGGATACACGGGGGTCAGGTATCCACTGACTCTGGAAAGACCTCGTAACTAGAACACGAGAGGGGCCTTCTGTGCCTGGAGGAGCCCTGGGCAGTTGCAAGGACCCAGCTTCCCATCCAGTTAGAAGCCTGGCAGGAGCGTGCTGGACAGCCTTTGGCAAGTCCTATGTCCACACTTGTGTCCTGTCATCATACAGTGGAATGTCTGCCCAGGTTTGTCCACATTGTCTGGGGATGGGCGGATTTGAAGATCCTCAAAATTCAGCTTTACGAGCATCAGGGTCTAGTGAAGTCACACTTGAGTGAATGTTTGTGTTGATGGCTCAAGTTGGTTTTAAAAGCTTGATAATTCACGTCACTGGGCTTGCTCAAGTTAGCCATGTCCCTGGAAAGATGTGGCAGGGAACCACTCTGAATGACCACGCCTTCCAGTCCTGAAGCACGAGGCTGTGACCAACCACTACATTTTATGACTTGGGCGTTGTCCCAGGTCCATAGCAAGGCGAGGCTCCAGGAGTAGGACACCCACCCTCGGGGGTGAGCCACACTCACCTGTTCCTTTGTAATCCTACCCTTTGCCCCTTTGGGGTTAGAATGTTCCATGGAACCTCCTCTTGTGTGTTCCCCATATAAGAATAAAGAATTCCTGTGGCTCTCTCTCTTTCCAAGGAGCCTGAAGTTCGCAGAGCCGTCTACAGAATATTGAAAGAGGTATTTCTGTGTGGTTTCATGCTTTCTTTGTCGTTTTCTTGAGTTATTGGAATAGTCAGATTTGTGAACCCAGCATTGGGTCGCCAGCGGGGACAGATGGCGATAGCCTCTTAAAATCATGAGACAATTGAAGCATTTTTCTCCTTGTTGAGAAACGTATGACACAAACTGCAAGAAAATGCAGGTTTGGTGTTGTTTTTCAGTGCGGGGGACTGAATCCAGGGCCTGGCACATGCTAGGCAAGTGCTTTACCGCTGAGCTGCAGCCCAGCCTCCAGAATCTGTCTGTTGTTCTGGGGATTGAACCCAGAGGCACTTTTCCACTAAGGTACATTCCCAGCTTTTTTTTTTTTTTTTTTGAGGGCCTTGCTAGTTGTTGAGGCTGGCCTCAAAGTTGGGATCCTCTTGCCTCAGCCTCTCAAGATTTTAAAGCAACATTGACTCATAAACTCCTAGCAGCACCTGAAATTGACCTTAATATGGGTTCTTTCTTTTTTTTTTTAATATTTATTTCTTAGCTTTCGGCGGACACAACGTCTTTGTTTGTATGTGGTGCTGAGGATCGAACCCGGGCTGCACGCTTGCCAGGCGAGCGCGCTACCACTTGAGCCATATCCCCAGCCCTGGGTTCTTATTTTATTTATTTTATTATCATCATTAATTTTGCAGTACTGAGGATTGAAGCCAGGGGTGCTTTACCACTGAGCTTCATCCCCAGCCCTTTTTATTTTTTGAGACGGGGTGTAGCTGAATTGCTGAGGGTCTCCCTAAGTCGCTGAGGCTGGTTTCCAACTTGCAATCCTCTTGCCTCAGGCTCCTGATTCCTTAGGACTACAGGTGGGCTTTGAATGCAAAAGGAGAGCCTGGTTACTAGGGAACGTGGGGGGAGATCTGGAAGGACACCGGAGGAGCTGGCCTGGCCGTGCGGCCTGGCCGTGCGGCGGGCTTCTTTGTCCCTCCCCGGGTCCAGGGTTCTCTCTGGCGCTCTCCACCTCGCTGGCTTGGGACTCCACAGATGGGAAAACTAGCTACAGGAGGCGAGGCCGCCTGCCCGCGCTGGTGCGGCCATCTGCAGCCTAGGGTCCCGCCTGTGTGTCCCACGCCTGCATACGTCTGCGGGGCAGGGGACCTAGGCCTTCTAATTAGGGTTGCCAGGAGCAGGATGGGTTCCTTAAAATTTCAATCACCGGGTTTCGCGGTGATCTGTCCTGATAGAGCTCAGGCGCCTCCTCTCGGGAGATGTCTGGCGAGCATGTTCTCTGTCCAGCGGCCTCCGTTTTTCCCTTCTCAATTCTGCAACCCCCATAAAAACAAGTGGTGCGAGAAGCCCCGGCCCACCCCGGCCCGCAGCCTGGACGCTAAAGAGACCCGGCGCCCTTCCGGACCCCCAGCTCTGTCTGCCCACCTCCTGGCCAGACCCAGCGCCCCAACCCACGCATTCCCTTTCGGCCTCTGCCCCATCCTGTCCTGTGTCTTAGCTTCCACGCCTCCCGATGTCCAGGCCGCTAACTGCTGACTGCCGGGCTTCGCTTCTGACTCGCGGTGTCCACATGCAGGAGGTGGCCTTGCGCTTGGCCTGCCACGCCGCTGGCCTCCAGGCCTGTGCGGTTTCTCCTGGAGAAATGGAGGGTATGTGGCCTGGAGGCGGGCTGCGGTGCCTCCCAGGAGCCCGGAGGCCTCTGTCAGCCTGGGAGGCCACTGTGAGCAACGGAACTCATGGTCGAAGCTCCCAGACTCAAAGCAGGGTTAATTGTGGCATTTCCTCTATCCTTGAGGTCCTCCCACCTTCCCTCTGTGGACGGGTGCTGGTCTTTGTCCCCTGCTCCTGGGCCCTAAGCTGTGCCTCTCTCAGACTCAGGCCAGGGACAGTCTGGGACTCCCTGGGCCCAAGGCAGGGCTGGAAGTACCCGGGAGGAGGCCCTGCTGCTCACAGGGCCACAGGAACCGGTCCCCCAAGCCCTCCCTCTGCTGGCACCTGACTCTGAGGCCGGATCACTTTGGGTCTGCTCCCAGAATACTGCTCAGGAAGCCCCAGCTCTGCCAGAGGCCGCCCTCCCTCCCTGACCCTCTGTCCGATCTTCCTGAAAGTGCTTCCCTCCTGCTTTAGCTTTTTGTCACTGTGACCAAAATATCAGAGAGATCGACTTAGAAGAGGCAAAGTTTAGTTTGGCTCATGGGTTTGGAGGTCCAGTTCATGGTCAGAGGACTCCACTGCTCTGGGCCCAAAGGGAGGCCAAACATCATGGTGAAGGACATGGCAAAGGAAGGCAGCTCAGGACATGGCCATCAGGAGGCAGAGAGCGCTCCACTCTCGAGGACAAAGCCCCCAGGGCACCCCAGTGGCCTGCCTGCCGCAGTCAAGCCCCACCTGCCTGCAGTCACCAGCCAGTCAGTCCACTTCAGGGGATCCCAACTCTCACAATCCAACCATTCCACCTCTGAAAAGGCTTGCACTGTCTCACGTGTGAGCGTGGGGGTGACCTCCCAGTTAAGCCACCACACCCTCTCATCCCCTAAGACTCGCAGTGAGCATATCACTCCCGGAGCAGCCAGTGGGGTTGGCGCCTGCCTCTCAGGTCGGAGTGCTCCCTGTAGTCTATCTCCCATTTCATAAATGCAGAAACCGAGGCATGGAGTGACCTGACAAGGCCCCTAGAAGCACTGGGGCTTGCCTTGGGCCTTTTGACCCTTCCTGCTTTTCCCACACTCTTGGGGGAGAGTAGTCTCCTGTGCCCTGGGCCAAGGGTCAAGGACAGCTGAGGCCAGCACAAGCTAATGCCGACAGCCCTTCCACTTGCCAAGGACAACGCCATCTGCAGGGTGGGAAGAGCGTTCAGGTGGTGCCTGGTCCCTGATCAGAAGCATGAATCTGATGGTGACTAATGGCAAAGGGGAAGAGGGCAGGAGCGTCAGTGGAGTCCAGCGGAGCCTGTCTGCCCGCATCTCCAGCAGCGTCAAGCCCGGGGGCACAGCACCTGGCGGTCTTCTGTGCCCTGAGCCCCAGCCTCCTTCCCTCTGTCCCTGCCAGCCTGTGTACCCATCTGAGGGGAGACACGGCCCTCCTTTCCCTGACCAGGTACCTTGGGATCTGTACAGAACCCACAGTGAGCTTCAGGTGGAAGGTGCAGGCCCAGGCCATGGCTGCCCTAGAGAAGCACTCTGCCCTCTCCTGTCCAGAGAGGGAAGTCCAGAGAAGGCCATGGCCAGGCTGCCACCTGCTTCCCAGACACAAAAACTGGCCTGAGCCCGGGGAACCCCTAGTGAGTTCATGGAGCATATGAGGGCCGGGGTCTCCTGTGCCGGGGGCCTGCTGTGGGCCTTCAGGCCTGGCTCTTAGTTATCAGAGCCAGGCATCTGGGGCATGGGGAGTGTCTAGGTCAGCTGCCTGGGGGTCTCACAGGTGCTCACCACCTCTTTTGTGAGGGTTGAGTGACAAACAAGAGAATTTCCAGGGTTCAGAGCATGGCACGGGCCTGAGGATGATGCCACCCTAAGTTCCACAGGC